GTTAGAGACTTCACAGGACCTGACATAACTTAACTCACTTGAGAGCATGCTGTCACTTCCTGGTCAGGTCATCTAAGGTTTTTGTCGTTGTGCCCTGAACTTGTGTGGGGTACGGTTCACAAAAAATTCAGGTCAATCCAGCTTCCTATTCCAACGTAATGCTGAGGTGTGCTAATATGATTGCTGTTCGAGGGTGTAGATGCTTAGTTTTTTTCCCAAGGGAATTAAGCCTCTTCTCCCAAACCTCCTCCCCTCCTCCTCTGGTTTCAGTGTTTGTTAGGACGGTCCTTCTTCACACTTCTGTGGCAGTTGAGCGCCACTGCCACATTGCTGTCGACGATGGTAACATGAGTGTCTGAAAATGGGATTGGCGTATAACTTTGCAACCGGGCGGAATTTAGTTTCCTATCAATTTCGCTGCAACCGTCCATGTATTGTCAGGTTATCGTTCTGCTATCAACTGTGGCACGGGATAAAGTTATTATTCTGTCAGATGTGTACGAACGGGCTCAGATCTGTTTTCCATACCGCATGCATATATTTGTTTACGAATTTGTTTGTTCACCTTGAGGCAATCTTTATTTTGCTCATTTCCGGTCAAATCGGTTGTTCATCCCGCTTTGGATTTATGCGTCTTTTGTTTGGAGACCAACAGAATAAGTTATTTTCGCACTGACCGAAAAAGTAATGGTTATCTACGTACCCAGTCCTGACATTGCGGTTGCGTAAGGAAACTGATTGTTTCCAATTTACGAACTGGTAGATTAGTGAATTTTTACATTTAAAAGGGATTTATTTGCTTATTTTTTTGAAAATTATATAGTAGTGCCATAGATGCTACCGAATTCACTGAATCAAGTTGTCCGGTAGGTCCATAAGGAGCACCACGCCACCTTATCGTGGCTTTCTGACAACCGGTCCATCGATTGAGTCGACCAGGTCGGTCACTGGCATCGGTGGACCCAACGAACGGATGGAGTCATTCACGTGCGTACGGCTGTCACAATGGGAATAGCCATAGACACACTCGCCTTTCATTCGTGATAAGGGGACTTGAAACCCTGACACAACGGTTTGCGTGCACTTCTGGGGCACTAAAAGACAGCGAAGCTCGATCTAGTTATTCGGCTTTGATAATCGCATCAGAATTACAGGGGGCTGTTAACATATTATTGATGTGGACAATGTTTGCAATTCACACAACCCGAAATATCGTATTAGCACTAAAGCAAAAACACTACAATCAACCCCGCGGCAATACTATATGATCACTATGTTTCTCAAGCAGGGAGTCTGTTTTATTGGCCGCATGACACTGCGGCGTCCAGACACATTCAATAAGCGCGTAAGCGAAGGAAAACCTATAAGTGAACACGACCTCCAGTTAAATGATGATGGATTGAAGACGACCACTTATATGCAAGTGAGAAGGGACTAGGTAGAAAGTAAATGGGTAATTTGTTTTTGAAAAGTTTTGCCTGCAAACCAGCAACCTGATTAGATTTGTACGCTTGTCTGGGGCGTTACAATACCTTGGTTCGTGTGTTTCCTGTGGTTTACGTAACTCCCATTAAAGTATGTAAACAGTATCACCATATTACTGGTGCTTCTTATAGAGTCACCGATTAGTTAGAACAAAATAACTAATTTAAGTATACATGTCACCCAAACGCATGTGAATATGTCACATGTATGACAGGTTACTGTTTAATTGAACTGGTCCTAACTTTAACTTTGCACTGATACTACTGAGACCGGGACAGGTCTGACCTGCCTTGGAGCTTGCTGTCACCGGCCCATCGTGAGTTAGATCAACGAAGCTTGTTGCATTATGAGGGGTGTTCTGCAAATGGCTAATCAGCCAAACCAAATAGCCAATACTCATAGACACTACAGGCCGCCTCAAACTGACGGAATTACTATGAGTCACTGCTGAAATATCTCGGGGCATTTGAACATGCCTATCGGTCCATACGAACGGATTCATATACCGTAAGTAAGCCAGTGCTTAATAACGTGAGGGTTATATCCAGGGCACGTGATGGTTTTCGTCGATTTTCCCCCCTGAATAACGAACTATCCGATTTCGGTCCCGCAAACTCGCCTCTGGAATGTTGAAAAATATGCCACTCCCTAACAGGGGACCGGAAAATTTCGGCAGTTTTCACCCACTGCTCTCCAACAGAGTGTGCCCTTTCCAGCTATCAGCAAAATCGAAAGCTTTTTGACATGACAGCCGACCTCCATTCATCCAAGATACTCCATTCCAGGGTATTCATACCCCAAGTTTAGATAACCTGATTGTCTTCTGTGTGAATTTCTGTACTGACCACTGAGCTTGACAGTTGAGCTGTATAGCGAAGTGATCATATGGCTTGTGTGTATTGACTTCATCGGCGGGGTCACCCCCTGTGCGTGCGCTATATGATATTTGGTCTAGTTTTGTCAGCCAAAGAACATCTCGAAGTGTTGTTAGACTGAATCATGCGACGACAACTCACTTGCATGGTTGTTAGTTCGTCTATTTTGGTTCAGGCTCTTAGAGAACTATGGTACAATATGTGAGATATTCCCATCGTTCAAAGTTACCATGCAGATGGTGCATATCAATCGAAGCGAATTCATGGGACACTGATGAACCACTTTGGAACTGTTAGTCAGTGAGTTATGCACTACCATAAGGTAGTGAAGGCACAGTATCTTTCAGACACGTTTCCTGAAGTGTGTCTGACATTTGTCCGAAATCAGCATTTCAAACCTCTTATGAACTGGGTCACATGAACATATATCGAATTGTTATACCTTTTCAACGGCTTGTTTAACCGTAGTACATTCACCACGGGCTGTGAACCACGGAATGAACGGAGTCGTGGGTGTATCAAACATCATGGATAGTTCTATTCTCCAGAAACCGGTCGGTACTTGGATCTCAGTTCGGCACAGCCCACTTGGCTTGAGCGTTCTATGTTAGCAAGCTATCGGAACAAAAAAGGATATGATCGAACAACGGGGAGCATTGCTATCCTTGGCTCTCCAATATCTTGTATGCAAATTAATACCCTGGCCTTTTTTAAACGACTTATTTGTATATTATCGGCTCAGATAGAGGGCTAAGTGAGTCAATCAGTCACTAACAACTGTTAAGTTACGAACTTCGGAGGATATAAGGAAGCCATACGATACTGCATGATTAGAGTCCCTGGGTGATGTTCATATGGGAACACCCTTGCGGCTGCATCTAGTGCAGAACGAAGGACGTTTTTTAAGGATAAACGCACGAAACGAGTGAACATGACTAAATACAATCCACGTATACTGAACTTATAAACAACTTGACGTATAGTTCGACCGATTCTACAATACGTGCAGCTCCAAAAACTTTAGGAAGATGGGTCTGGCTATTCACGTCACGGTGAAGGCAGGTGTTTTCCGTGCTTTGTTGGGAGCTTGATTCACAGAGGCGAGCAGAGCCTTCGCTAACAAACTTCGGCAGTAACCATCAACTGCAATCGTCAGTCTCAACGACTGACAACACATGTTAACTTTCTGATCGGCCTGGCAGCTACCACCATGACACTGCCAAACCACGAAAAAGACTTGCCTCCCGTTCATTTTTACCCACATCGGTCACACAAGACACATATGGCAACCCATATTAATTCCTCACCTTCCAAAATCCGTCCGCTCTGACACTCACTGACATGGATCCACAATATCTATTTGTTTTTTTGTCGTTGTAATCGGTCTTAATTTTATCTTCAATAAAATTGAGCTTTGGTTGCCAAAACTCCGCCTTACACCACACAGGTACACTTGTGTGCATGGTGGTGTCCGCCTCCAAACGGAAGACTGTGGACTCTGAACCGCCCTCCTACTTTATTTGTCAACGTAATCCGATTGCTGATAGGGTCTATGAGTTCCTGGCCAGACTGAACTCTGCTCTGTGGGCTTCCCATATGTCGTCTTATTACTTGCATGTTAGCCCGATGCCGACTTATCGACGTTGCCTCAGTAATTAACACAGGATGCAGGCCCTGCACCACAGGAGACCGGGTGGTTAGGTGACCAGTGCGATGTCTCAGAGGGTTATGGTGTATATTAATGTGATTGTCCTTAAGCAAAGTGACCATATGGATACCTTCAAGTATTTGCCTGGAAGTTGAAGCTTTCCAGAAGGATGTTCCATCAAACAGAAAACAGTTTAAAGTACTTTCAGTAATAAAAATAAATAAATAAAAAAGGATCAAAAAGTATCAGTGGATAACTAAACCTACTGCTGATAATGAGTAGTTTTGAATACCTCAGGAATCCCGTGGAATTCAATAGGGCTTCACAACCAACTCTGGGTAATCTGTCTTACCACCAACACCTGGAAAGTTTGCTCAAATTCAGTATTACACCCCTGGTATACGAAGGAAGATCATAAGTACACCGTTACTGACGAGCTTGCTTGTAGAAAACACAACTACTGAGCTTCTGCTATAGTGTTAGAGACTCGGCTGGAGCCCCTACAGAGATAGGGCAACGGAACACAGGCCCAACTTTCTGGTAATTTAACATCTTGGACCTGGCTGCTTATTTTATCCGCGAACAAAAGGTAACTTGCCGTGATGGCCGTCAAGTAACACAGTCAATTTTTGGTTCTAACTGTGTCTTTGCAATCTACGGTTAACCAAATAGGGGATTTTTGACCTTGCACTTTGTTTTTCTCTGTTCTGTGATTAAATTAAACACACTCCACTTGAAAAACAAAGTGATCATGTATTTTCCAAGAGATGTGTGGAATATATGTCCCACGTGCCATCTTCCTTCTAACTAACCTGACAAATACTCTCATTTGTGCACGAATTTAATTTTTACACGAGACTCAGGTGAATCCAGCTGAGTCTTTCGTTTATGATGGTCCGCTGCCATGGGCCATCGAAGTGTTTTCAGCAATCTTATGAGTAGCGTGTTACGCCTATATCATCCACCTATGTTTCTCCCTACTTTTTAAACAGGTGAAAGAATTCATGCCCAGTTTTGTATTCAAATATCAGCGCGAAGATGGTGGGACGTGGTACGAGCACGTGAAACGGGATGGAGCACGGGTAGGTAGTCCCCCAAAATGAGCAAACATTTAGAACTGGCAAAAATTGTGATCATCTCGGTGATATGCTCTTTTCAGGGGGAGGAAGAAGATAAAAATTATCCATCATACACCAGGTGATTCGGATTGAAAACACGTTCGTGTGTCAGAGAAACCAGGGTTAAATACAAGCGAAAACAATTAAGAATTAGCTGTTTGAAACTTACATGAAGTTCCAAAAACAACAATCTAAATTCTATCAAAGAGGCGCGTATCTTCATAATGCGAACAAGTTTCTTCAATGTATATTCCGTCTATGCTCACATTAGTGATACTCCATTTCCATGATGGAAAGATAATAGCGTTGGAAGACGTGTCAAAGCCCGATTGCGTCACAGCTTTCTGGTCAAAATGGAAGTAATCAGTAGTCGTTTTCTAGTTATTGGATGAGAGCACGCAAATGAGATCTTTCGGGAAATCTCACGTCCCTTTTTGAGGAGTTATCCTAGTAGTGCCTCCAGTGATAATGTTTTCCACTGGCGAAGGTGCTTCTCGAGAACGGATTTGTTGCGCTGCATCACCGTTTGAGAAAATCCCTAGTTCTAGTAATTAGCCGCAAGAGGGCTAGTAGATCAAGCCACCTTAACTGTTTTCTTGCACCGAGAGTAGTTGTAAAGTGGTTTTGAATGCTAGCGTTAAAGTTTGAGATTTTCGAGTGCGCTGGCGCACAATGTATTTTCCATCTAAATCGATTCTAAATGGAGAAAGGTAGGATGAACATGTTTCGTGCTCTTCTCAGAAGCTTCCTTTCTCTTTGGAAGTGCCGTCGCAAAGTGGATCATTGTAGGTGATAGATTCTCCTTTAATTGGTCGTATTAGTGCCTTTTTCAAAAACTTTTTTATGCTCGGGTATTGTAATCATGTATTCAGTAATCTTGTATAGGTAAGGCAATTCTCGGTTCTCAAATTTCTATGTTCTGGAAATCGTAGAACAATTTTCAGTATTCATTGGATCTTTGTGTCTTTGGTTTTTAGGAATATGATGTACTTTTTATTTGGCCCACTGTCCTGTTACCTACAAACCATTATTTCTGTAACCATACTAGATCCTAAAGGCCAACAGTGACCCTAGAAATCTTGCCCGAGCCACGCTTGATTCAGTTGTGATAGCCAAGCGGGTTCGGATATATCCCTACAGCCGTAAAGGCAGCCGTGATGTATGTCTGCGATTCGCCCTGTACGGTTGCAAATTTCCCGGTGAGTGCCTTACTTTAAAATACCCTCAACGGGTTTACTTTGCATATTTACAACCCAGTCTGCTTGTTGTTTCTGCTATCATCCAGCTCGACGGACATGTTTATCATCACTCGTTCCTTGCAGTCATTTACACGCATATACGCATATATCCCATTCGTTTCTGTCCATAATTTCGATTTTCACAGTTTGTCTGATTGACCTGGAGTGTCCAATGAGAACGGATCCGTATGAACAAGCCACATTCAGATACATGCATGCACAAATAAAAGACAGTGTAAAGTGACAAAGAATGTAATTCTGATTGATGACCACAAACAAAACGTACCCAGAATCTTTCCGAAGCAGTGAAATGCAGTGATGGATGAGAGTGATGCTAGCGGATAGCCGCAGGGCTCAGGAATAGAATTTTCGGATCAGTCGTAACAACAGTGGGGCTGCCAGAACTGCGACACCTTCCTGTCCGGTTGAATTTTCGTCACGAAGCTAGGCTTGCATTCATCATCGTCGTCCGTTATTACCCTACACCTTTATGTGTAGGCTTGTTAGACCGAGGAAACCAGGACATTTGACGATGTTTTATTCCCTACCGCACTCATCAGTTTCCATTTTTGTCAAACGGATTGATCTGTCATCGCGGATTTTAGGAAGGCGATGTGTTGGGATAATTTCTCATGTGGCATTGTCTACGAGTGACTCATCCTCGACGAATTCGGTGAGAAAGTGGTGGAATGCCGTCTATTTCCTCACCCTGTGGGCTTTAAAATTCTGCAATATTTTGGATGAGAAATTTGCTGCAACCACAACACCTGTCAGCTTTCCGTTTCACCTCTCGGCTCTCAGTGTGAATACTAATTGATGTCCCTTTCGGAAGAGGAATATGAGGGCTGTTGTGAGTTTTATTACTCAACATCAACAGTTTCCTGAGATGTGGCTTAACAAAAAGAATAGCCGGGTCTTTTGGATAGCTGAATAGTTTACTTATTGCCTTTTCGAGCGTCTAACTATTCTCGTTTTCTATAATGCGCGTTTTCTGGTTGGTTCGTCTGAAAGTTACATATTTTATCTGCCCTTATCCCGAAGGGAAAACTACCGCTAAATTTTATATATATATATATATATATATATATATATATATATCGTTGAATGCTCCATTGAAACCGTGAACTTTGGATTACTTTTTGTTACTGTCAGTGTCTCAGTGTCGCTTGATGACTTACCGTTGTAGTTGTAGACGGCTGACTGTACTCAACCAGCAGCTGTTTCAACAAAAAAACCGATTATGTCGGCATAAGGTATCCGTCGGTTAATTTGGCTGGAAGGTTCTGGATATACTACGAAGCACTGTTTCGTTCTACCGAGTTCCCCCTTAACTCTACTGTTGAGTACCACTTCTTACCATGTCTTACTGATGCCTGTGAACGTAAGTGCACAGAGGAAGTTTCTAGGTGGTAAGGGATCATTTGTTGTTACGTGAAAGGCCATTTTAAGCACCTATTGATATTGGTTTTCTTTTGCTCTACTTCAGATGGCGTCGTATCATACACTATACCACAGGGCGGTCTCCGATCGCAGACTTCGTTTCGTTCTCCTGCCCTGGGTGATCCACTGGAACCGGTTGTGGCGCGCCATTTAAAGGACCTATCATACGATGGTCAAATCATTCCCACTACCTATCAGTTGACGGATGGCTTGGGACAACTGATGGACAACGTCGCTTTCCTTGGTAATTTGACGCGTGAATCCGACCTGTACCCATCACAACCAGGGTTTCATTTTGTTGGTTGGCCGCAGGGTGAACAGTCGGAAATTCAGCTCATTTTCAAATTTGACACAAGTAAGCCTTTTATCACATTTTGTAGATGTTTCCTTCCAATTTAAGCGCTCTTTACTAGAGTGCGGTAGCTTAAACATGGCTGCTCTCCCCTTACATTTCAGTCTGATCAGTATTAGAGAAACCCTCACTTATTCTTCGCTGTCAACTAGTCGCCTAATACAGTAAACCCTCTTAAAGAGTGCTCATTAGTTCGTCTGTGCACCATACCGACAGTGTCTCCATTTGATAGTAGACAGTGACTACCAAATCTACCACGTTTGCGTGCCCTACAAGCACTGAGAAAATATGCATCATTTGGCGAGTCCGTGTCGCATTTTACACCTGTTCATCGAATTTTGTTGTAGGGCATTCGAATTTGCCCAACCAAATTTACTGTCATGGTTATATTCCATGGGAATTTCTGCGTCTCACCCAAAGTGGATCCTCCTCTCTAAGTAAGACTTGTCAGCTCCATTTAGTGTTAGGCATTTTTCTTCCCCCTATGTTCAGGTTCAGAGCTCGTGCTGTCGTTGATAGGACGCATTTCTAAGATAACTCACTAGGAATCTAAAGACTGTTTTGATAGGTCTTAAGCTTTGTCAAACTTGTCGCCCGATAAATGTGGATATCGTTGTTGAGAATGGCAACCAGCGCCCACGGAGAACCCAGTAGCTTTCTCATAACATGAACAATGACACCATTAAAGGGACCACTCTTGAGGCTGACTAATGCTCAGTAGGGATTAGCTTCTTCCTAACTACAATGGAACTCAAGAACAAACTATCACCCACAGGACACCAACATGTTCAGCCTTTTCAAGTGGTGTTTCAAGAATGGGGTGACACTCTGTTGGTTTCATGGGCTTCTTGTCTATACTTGTCTCCGCTGCGAAATAAAATGTTATTCCTTGCACCAACAATAGGAATTACTCTCCGTCCGTTACTTTTGATAACCTTTGCATTTTATTCTCTTTTTTCGCTACAAATAAGCCTCAGAAATGTCCGTCGTTTCGTACATCATCCGATCAGCCTTTCTTGAAAGATTGCCCGAAACTTCACCAGCTAAATTCCTTTTAATTTCTAGCGCGCCGTTTTACCTGGATCCGTCTGTTCACCTTCGATTCACTAATATTGCGGGTCAGACTATTCTCACACGCCATGGTCGCCTTCAGCATGAATGGTTTAACCTTCAGTGATAGCGTGGAATTCTCCACTGGTCGCGTCCAGTACTATGATCCACAGTTAACCAGTCTATCTCGCGTCCGAAGGGAACCGATTGTTAGGCGTTCGAAGCAACGAAAATTGTCTTCATCATCACAACAGGATCCTCGGATCTACGCCGATCCCGAATACGGAGGGGCGATTGTGGTGGAACTGGCTTTAGGAGAACGAATGGGGCGGTATGTCCGACTGACACTCACTGCCGCAGATATTTGGACAGTTCTTTCTGAAGTACAGTTTAATTCAAGTAAGCTGACTAAATGCATCCACATCTGATTGCCATGGGGTTAACTTGGTCAGCATGCTTTTTTTCGATGATAGCTTCATCTATGTATTTCACCACCCAGAGAGATGATGATGATCATCATCATCAAAGACAGCAACATCAGCGTTGGCACTGGTGCTTCACTGCCGTGCAAACATAAGGTTTGTTTATATATATATATATATATATATATATATATATATATATATATATATATACAATTATATTAACAGCCCTAGAGTGAAAAATAGAGAAAAAGAGTGGGTGAGAGAGGGGACTATGTTAAGCATTCTGAGGTGTCTACAGCTCCAACCGCTCACTCAGACAATCTGGAATGAAACTGACGGCACGGACGCCACTGACATCGATTAGCCGCCATTTCTTGCATCTCCCAGCCATCTCCAGCCAAGTACAGGCGGGGTCAGGGGGACCCCATCCGGAGAGGCGTACAACACCCAAACCCTTCGTGATCTCTTTCACCCCGTTCTGCCAACTCATGCGCTGTCCAACTCGCGGTTTGTGCGGAGTACAACACTCGTCTCGGTTGACGGTGGTTCGGTATGTGTTACACATGACAGAGCCATGCTAGTCGATGATGCTGGATGTTTTCCCGGATTGAAGTACCCGGTAAATTGCAGTTAAGGTAGTTTGTATGTGCCTTTTATGATGACATTCGTAGTCTTGTTTTTAAGTACTTCTAATTTTTAAAGGTTTTTGGATTTTTGGAAGACTTGTTGATTGACAGAAAAGTTATTATAATTAACCGTGTGATCCGAAGGAGTCCAGTGGTGACATACATCAGACATTTTCATACACGTAAAAGTAACCATCAGTAAGGCTTCCCTGAAAACTTTAAACCCAGTCACAGACGAGGGGAGTTTAGGTATCTGGCAAAGTCCCATTGTCTCTATTCCCTTAAAATTCAGGAGGGAAATTAATGCAGTTTTTAATTTGTTTTTTTTTTTCATTTCTGGACATATGGCGTGTACCTTGCATGATACACCGAGTCGCTAGTTCTGCTTTAGTTTCAAGGTGTCTTCTCATGAGAATATTATTTCACAAGCCAATAGTTTTCGCGAATGCCTGTATAGAGAGTATATTTAGATGACGTTGCAGTATTTCCAACTGTGTCCATTTTTATTTTTATTTTAGCTGTTACGAAACCGCCGCCGGTAACCGATACCCCAATCGTTCCCGTCGTGGAAAAGACAGTGGGTGTTGATCTCTCACCGGGAATAGTACATAGTGCAAATGGGAAGGCCGAGCAAGAAAACGGGCAAGATGCACAACCCAGCCCTTTCAAAAGTGATACAATTCCACTAGGCAGTACGCCAAACGATGCAAATGGGAAACAAGGCGCACATGGTGAGTTTCGCGTACCCTCTCACCTTCTGTCTTTTTCAGTGAGTTTTTTTTAGCTTTTTTCCAATCCGGTTTACACATTCTTTCCCATTTAAAAATGTGGTTGCAGGCAGTTTACCCATAATTCGGTTAAGTTACCAAGGTCAAGAAATGCCTGCTGTCACCAAATCAAATACAATCAACTAAATGCGGCACAGAGATGGGAATCTTTTCTAACCGAACACCTAAGTGCTTCAGCGAAAACACTCAATTTCGGGGTAGTCCGGTAGAGGGACACGGATGCCTCTGGGCCTGAATCTGAACATATTAATCTATCCAAATTTAGCACCCACGTTTCCCAAATTCCTTCTCCAAATTCGTAGGACGAGCGGCTTGTGAAATTGAAGAACATGGTAAAGCGAGACTGTTCACTAACACTGAATTAAATTCGTGTGGATAAGACGTATGTATGTGTGGCATTAGTAGGGTCATCATTCTGATCAATGGGGTAACCTGAATGCTGTAAACATGTTTCGCTTCACTAGTTCAAAACACTGATGTGGACTTAAGAGCAACTTGAGAGCTGTGAGCTCGTAGCCTATTCTGCTAAACGCCAGATTTTATTTCACGAGGTATAAGTGATCCAATACTTTTTACCAGGTTTGTCTAAAGTAATAGGTCTAGGGGGGACACTTACTATTGGGCGCACACACGGGTTGAAGTACTGTTGAACAATCAAGTCATCTTTTGTGTTGTACGCCAAAAGGACGATCAGGTAAAAAGCGCACTTAACTGATATGTGAAATTGATTCACTCGTTCAAAAATGAGGTAGTTTTCATTGCGATATTTTAGTAATTGAGAAAAACAGACTTTAGCTAATCTAATTCGTCCTGACTCGGTGCACCAAAATTATGTCATTTCAAACACAAAGTGGCTTCGGCGTTCGTAAGAGTGCTGTCTCAGCAGCCACGAGAATCAATGTTGGTTGAGTTTTTGCATCAGTGACGTCTCTACAGTTCCACTGATATTCCTTAGCGACTGGGATCTAACGAAAAAGGTTTTCTGCACAAGTTTCTGTGCATCTTACCAGTGTTATACCTTACACCTTATGATGAATATGTGTGGATGTGTGTATTAATATGTGAAGATTTAGCATCGCCGGAATTGCTGATAGTACAATAACTTTTCGCCGAATTTGCGCCGATATCTGCCCTAATCAGGCCGAAGTTGCGTACTAATGAATAACGAAATGCGATATGTGTATGTGATTATTCACCGGTAGGCTGTACCCTAATTGAGAGTTGAGTTACAGAATGCGAAAATATTTATCTCCAAGAGAAGATACCACCTAACTTACCGGTCACTTTTGACCGCCGTATCTGATTACCTCCCCTCTCCCTATGAATTTCAATCTAAGTGATTGTAAAACAGTTTTGTTGAAGAAGAGTGGCAGAAAGTTACAAGGTGTTCACTAAAACGCATGGTTAACATATTCTTACTACTGGGACCCTTCCGTCTAGAAGTGGTGTTAACAAGGCTTTCTAATCTCCTTTATTCTGGTAGGGAAACATCGAATTTGGGCGAAATAATGTGAAACTACGACTATTTCTCACTGTTGTCAGTTTACATGCTTCAAATGGCCCTCAGGATAAGGTGTAGGCGAATTCCCTATTTAGGTGCAACTTATTTGTAGACACCCAAAAGTACGTATTCGGCCCATACGTGAAGGTAAACATGGGGATACTGCTGGCAAAATATACTCACTTGCAGACCACTATGCTTTCAGTTAAAGACTTGACTAATATACTGTCAAGAAAGCAGCTTCAGCAACCTTACAAGATATGAGTTATGTCAACAAAATATACTGCGATATCTCGAATGTCATACTAACTGAAACCTAAGGCGACCTTCATACAGCGAATTTAGTCAGATAACGGGATCTTCAGCTTGTTGATACTTTACTAATTTGCAAATAAGTGCATTTCACCAAGTGTGTACAGTTAGGTGTTCCAGTGTAACGTAAGGTTAATGGATATTTGAGGACTACGCTTAAAGAAGGACGAAGCCTCATCATGGGCTTTTGCGAAGTTTTCAGAAAATTCATGTATCCTGTCATTGAATCATGTTCTAGTGTTGGTTATTCGGTAACAATGAAATCTTGCTGTTCTCGCTAGGCAGCGTATTCCACGTGTCTAAAATTTCAACTCTAAAGGTTCGCTATGAATGGATCACAGCCGCGTCACGGTCAACAAACACTATGAAACTGTTTTGACTTATTTGGTTTCCCCATAACTTGTCATCACTAAGATCTCCGTATGTGGCAATCACAAATCTTTTTGCAGTTTATGATTTGATTGTGCAAAGTTGGATAATTTCAAGAGTGACTAAGTCTCAAAAATCGGGTATCTTGACGCTGATTTACCTTCCTCGTCTTTAGTTTGGAATGGGCCAAACCGACAGTCATGCGTAAACGTCTACTTTTTCTCCCTTCTCGTAGTCCACTTGACTTTTTACTGAGTAAGCGACTGTTGATTTTTTGCCGCCGGCACAACAGTGGTCACAACGAGTGCTTCATTCTGCTAACTCCAATCCAAATGAGAAGCCCTCAATCTACCGGAACTTCTATTCTAGTTTCTCATCAGTTATTTCTTCAGTCACCTCTTTCTCAGAGTTGCCCTCTATTTTTTTCTTTCTGATTCTGTTAGATTTGCATCCGTCTGGTGGCAAACCTAATGTGAGCGATGCTGAAGGAAAACTGGTAACGCTGCTTCCCATCGTTATTGCTTTGGGCGTCCTTCTGTTTCTCCTACCTGTGGTTGTACTAATTTGGTTATGTTCACGGCGACATTTCAAAAGAAAACAGTTCAAGTGTCGACAAAAAATGCACTTAAATGATGGAAGCACACGCACAATCCTGCGTTCGGTGGCGACTTCTAATATGCACGAGGGAGCAAAATTACTAGGCAATTCACAGCCTGAAGGAAAGTCGACCCTGGCTCCTCAGCTGTGTTTTCCAAATGGCATCCACCCATCGAACATGTTTCAACGTCAAAATGATCCAAGTCTAAATGGACAGGTTGCCACCAACAGCGTACTGCATTCGATGTCAGGTAATCCTGGTGTTGCACTGTCGGGTCCAACTTCTGTCGCTCCGGATAAATTTGAATCACACGCCGATGCAACTCAGTTATGTTCCCAGGCGGATGGAGGCTATATGAGTAAGTTGTCATGTTAATGCTTAGTTCACCAGTTAGAAACAAACAACAAGCGCTGAGAAGTTTTGCTATTTGAATTCTTCATTCTTTATGCACATTTTGTTTAGTAACCGTCGTAGCCAAAGATATTGACAGACTTATTGTTGGCAGACAGACGATTTATTTACCGCCATACCTTTGTACCCTTACACTTCCTGCATCCCTCTCACCGAAAGAAAACTTAATTCACTTTATGAAGCAAGGCAGAATGTATAGCAACCACACATTGACGAGCAGGATAAAAATTGACGGAAACCATTAACTGTGTAATGCAACCTATCGATCAGTTAGGCATAGCTCTCATCAGATCGTGAATCCTGTGCGGAAACAATGAGAGATCTGAGATGAATTTGAGATGCGGAACTCCTACACATCTTGGTAATTCTTCTGAAGGATAAGGTCTTCTAAACCTCCTTTGATCCACGACGTCTCCCTGACACTTAAAAGCACACTCTAGAAGGCAAAATATCCCTTTGGAAAACATTGATTAAGGACATCTAGTACGCCACACGGAGATGAAATCGCCTTAAGTTTCTCCACTGTGAAACTGACCATACGTCACCACCAGATTTTTTCTACGCGATGTCATACCGTGTTAACAAGTTAAAGACAAACTTATCACGGGGTGTACTTTTTCAAGCTTCAGATGGACAATTTACCCAGCAGCCGTAAGATTTCGAGTGAAATATTCTTTCCTCAGTGCCATAATCGAAGAACGACAAACTTTGGAATGGACCATTCTATGCACAATACCCGTTTAACGATTCATGATTTTCTACACACCAAAGACTCTAGTTAAAAATATAATAACGCGTTTTCATCCACTGAATTCGCCCAAAAAATCCGAATTAGTTAGAACCTGTCAACTTATTTCTACATGTCCCTTTTTCTGTTTATCCAAACGTCCCCGTATTTTCATTTATGTACTAATACAGTGCTTCTCTGCTAGGGGTTTAGCTAGCTAAGCTGTCACTCATAATGACAAGTTAGAAACATCATCATACAGATTTACTTGTGACCTTCCCCACTCATGGCCCAATATTGATTCAGACCGGGCTTGATTTTTAGTCTTAGCTGCATTACTAAGTAGGTGGGCCGCTTCGACAATGGGGTGACATGAAGCAGGAATTGCCACAGTCAGTTTTCGGACCTAACCTCTCAGGTCGGACATCTTTCCCCGGTACTTCAAATAACGAACCCTGTCAAATGGTCCACCGTTCATCAACAATGCACCATAATATTGTTGGTTTTCGGGGGTCGTTTTCGTCTACTGTCAAGCTTCAAACGATTCATTAGTTGTGGGTCATCATTAAATATGCCAAGAAAAGTAGGATGAGTGATTACCAGTAATGTGGGAAGAAGAATTAACATAAGGAAACGGTCATCCATAAACGGGAGATCTATCACTGTTTCGTTCGATCATAGGTGGATTGTGAAGAATCTTGCGCAACCCGGTGGTTTCCTTTGTTGCCCATGACTGCTGCTAAAGTTCTTGTACAAAGTCGAAGTAGTTGACCAGTTAAATTTCCGTGTCTCATCTCGATCGCCTTTTTTGAGCCAAACTTTCAGCTAAGTAACACAGTGTGGGTGTTCTCTACGAGTGTTCCACAAACCGAAAACACATAGTGAAGCGTAACACAGTGAAAACCCTGAGCAGTATGCTATCTACGGTGGCCACATCCATACATAAACTGCATTCGGTCCTTCTTGTCAAATTATTGCTCTGAATACTGTCTTATTCCCAACTAAATATATAAATGGAGTGACTTCGATAAGTGGAGTAAGGAAACCAACTGTTTGATCATGGTCACACTGCGATATCGACAATTCTAGAACAGTTCTAGAGCAGGTCACGTCAGCCATTTCTTGAGTGTAGTTCCGCCGAACTTATTTCTCACTGGCTAACATATTCTGATGCCCACTGGATGCAAACCGTACGTGCGTCGTGCCATTTTTGGACTGTGGTGTGAGTTGGTACCAGGAAAACAGAATGTAATCTTATAACATTGAGTATAGTCTGTAAACATGGGCCTTTCTGACGCAGATTACAGGCTCTGTTTCATTCCAGAGCATCACCAAGGTCAAACTAGCAACTATTTTTGGCCAATATTTTTAACCCTTACTCCAGCACTTTCGCTCTTCATTGTAGTAGAAAGTGTGCAGGGTAGGGGGCGAGGAGGAGGAAGAATTTCTCATTACTCAGTACCATTGTGCACATGTTTTACGTCACAAGTCACGCTTCGCTGTTTATTTGCATTCCGCTCGTTTACCACACGCACTTCTCATTGGGATTGTTTTTTATCATGTGGAAATGGATATGCAGATTTTGACAAGATCTTTGCCTTTAGCCAACAAATAAATCAATCGCCGGCGCTTTGATGTTAAGCTGTCTTTACTATTCATGCTCCTCTGTAGACGAGAAAAGGCCAAACCTTGGCATAGTGTAATCTTGAGCATTAATTTCATCTAAAAGCCGTTTATTTGACAACTAGATGTAACACGATTGTTGGAATGTACTTTTGGATGGCTGAATGTTTTGAGAACCTGAAACTCCGTGAAGCTAGGTGAAAAAATATCAGTTCATTCAAGGTATAACCTGAATCTCCATTCGCTGGTTCAATAGTGACTGTTTGAATTATGGAACTCCGTGAAGCTAGGTGAAAAAATATCAGTTCATTCAAGGTATAACCTGAATCTCCTTTCGCTGGTTCAATAGTGACTGCTTGAAGTATGGTCGCAGCATTTTACAAGTTACCGTCAATTTTCCACAAATACTGCTGTTTGTTTCAACGTGCATTTAGGTGTAAGTAGGAGCTGTTCACGCCACCTCGTTTTCCTAAATACCCTGTATCTACTAAACATGTAAACACTAGGCTACTCACAAGTTACAATCTTTTACTTCCTCCCTGTTTCCTTAGCCGGTGTAGGTTCTCCTCTTCCGAATCAAACAAATATTCATCCACCCTTAATTCCAACATTAATTGCTATACCGACAACCACCCCTACTGGGCAGATCGTGCTTCGACCGATAGGTTATGGGCATTCGACAACCGAACTCAGTGCCTTGGCCGGCTTGGGTGGTGAATTTATTACTGGTGGATCTCTAGGTGGTCTGGGCACCCCAGATAGTGGCAGCCTATACGCAAGCATTCGAGCCAGTGCTATGCAGCTCGGTCAGTCCACTTTGAGTGGAGGCGAATCAGAAGCATATGATAAAACTGGGTCGGCTTTCTTACCCCCGCCCCTCCCGATGAGACACCTGGGACGGGATGAAGGTGTCCAGTGGCGCGGGGAAGATACCGACGAAGGTGAAACAGACTTACGGGAAAGTGATACCACAGCTTCTGGAGCAAAGGAACCAGAAAGGCAGCAGACTACTGTATCCCAATGTTTTACCATGGGTAGCAAAAGTATCCATAATGAGGAAGCCGAGCAGGAAAACGACAATTCGGAGTCCGTTGGAAATTCGAATGCAAAAACTGTAACTAATCCTACGGATACGAACCACGCATCGAGCGTACCCTCAGTGGCATCTGCCTCCCCAAAACCTCAAGAAGGTACGACCTTTGCAAATGAAGCTTTGTTCTCCCAGATGAAGCGGACTAAGCTCCGTCCAGTATCCCAACGAATCTCGAGTGCTCTGATAACTGGCCACAGACACTCTGGTCTGTCGTTACCCGACGGTGAAGAGGCGTATACACCATATTTAAGCGCCTCTGTTCGCCGACCAGGCAGCAAAGGCCATGTTCCTGTGAAGGCATTGCACGGAACACCAGCAGGCTTAGTTCTCCGTCCTTACGGTAGGTCTGTGCTGTGTACGCGCCGCTTGCTGGTGGATGAACCCGCGTCATCACGCCACTTTTTACTATCCTCACACTCAATCATATTTTTGGTTGCAAGCGCTTAATAGCATGCACGATTGATGCTAATATCGAAACGCTTTGATTCGATTCTCACAATTCAACCTTATGCATGTCATCCACAGTTGCAGTTTTGGGTGTGGGGTGCCTTGAGTTATTAAGAAATATGAACAGAGGGGTGCGCACTTTACTTCACTTCTGGTGCACATTCATTTATGGCTTAAGCACTCTATGTATTTGCTGACCTCTATATTTTTTGTTTGACCGGTCATCTCCAAAGTGTGAATGATTCGCAGTGCATAGCTATCATTTTAAATTTTCCTCATATCGAAAGTTCCTTTTTTGTTCGGAATGTGATTTGGAGTTGATCGGTCGATGCCTACGCTAACATCGGCTTACATACCCTCGGCTTTTAACACGGTCAGTAAAATGTCATCCAACTTCTTCGGGCCATTCTATCGCCATTTTATCGCTTGGATTCAGCTACGAAATTGTATTATCACTGGAAGAATCTTCAAGTATAGGGACATATAACACGTATGACTCTTGTACAAAGGAATTATATTGCCGTGATAAGAAAGGTTCACTCAACTTGCAAACTGATTGGCAATGCTTTCCGTCGTTCAAGGTCCTAATTGGTACAATCTAAAATGGCTAATATTGCCTCTCATTCTTACTTGTCAGTAGGAGTGTGGATATTGGAGCAAAACGGCTCAATTATTAGAGCGCGAATTTACTGACCGGAAGGTCAGTGACCTGAGAATCTCGACTTCGTCTGTCTAGGCTTGGGAAACCTGACAGCATACCAGCCCCCGTGCTTTTTTTGGGTGGCATGGTAGCTGGGCATCGAAAGAGTGGTACAACTGAATTGTTTTTTCGTGTGTGGATATTGCGACATGACAAAGCAGCGCTTCATACCTCTCAAACCATATAGAGCCGATTTCTCTCCCACCAGTTAAAGTTGTGTCACCTCAAAGTCCTGACCAAGTGAGAACAGGCCTACCTGGGGTTGCAAAAGACTACGATTCCAAAATTAGGTAGATGATTGCTGTAAAACAGAAATCAATGGTTCTCTGACTGAATGTCACAAATTGGCTTATAGAGTTCTCAGGTTTAGATGACCGGAATTTACCATTGATGACCATCCTGATTGGACCATTCTATTTAATGGGCCCAGTCACACCTTCAGTTTGTTGGTTTTATGTAAGTTCTTTCCGTGCACACTTCTGTTTATTCTGGGTTTGATCTGTACAGGTATTCTTCTGCTGAATAAAAATCGCTTCCTTCCGTCTATCATCACTGGTTATGGTGGCAAACATGAGCGGTTTTGTCGTGGACCAAATTTCTGGTCCTCGAATCAAGGAGAACACTAATTATTGCTAAAATTCTGGTCTGCTTATTTTATTCAATCTGTTCCTCTATAGCATCTGGCTCTCGAGCATAGCTAGCCTTTCTGTTAGAGGTAATCGATACCTGCGGCGATTTTGATTCCTCTGCATGCGACATTGGATTGGATGGCTATAAATGAAATTTTTCTAGCCTTGACCAACGCCCAAAATATAGCCTTGAAGGAGCCATTTGTATTGCTTTGTTCTCTCTTACGGTTTCGATTGGTACAAAAACATCCCATGGGTTGTAGACCGCGGTTTACTTGATGATGTTTTCCTTGATGATAGTTTCCCCGTTAAGATCATTGTTCTAATATTGAAGCCATCGTATTCTCTTTATACTATGCCCTTATCGGTGGCTGTCTGCTGTTCAGTCATACTCACCATCTGTGTAGCCTTGTTTGTTTGTTGCCGTTCTTCAGTCTTTATAATGGACCAAATGTGTTGTTTGTCGTACCTTGGAAAAATGTCAGCTTCAAAGCCTATTTGCCCGAGGAATGGAATTTACTGCAGGGGCATATGTATATTTGACAGGTGGTTAGTTGTAAAAGTTTCTGTTATAGATCTCGTCAATCCATGCTGAAGAGCAGAGAAGCCTAAACTAATTGTTTCATCATTGATTGGAACCACCGGCAGTACCGATTTTACGAAGCACCGGAGGGCTTCGAATCCGCAACTGACCGGTTGCCAGTGCAACACTAAACCACTCGTTGCGTACGTCTAATTAAGTCGCATTTTCGGGTTAATGCTGCACTGTCATCACTCATAAACTCTATGCCACGCAATGCAGTACTGACCAACCCCTTGTTCGAGGGTCAAGGCGACTGAGTGGATACTTTTCCTCATGAAAACATTTGATTTACTATTAAGTTAAGGATGGTTTTTTAAGCTCTATTTCTGGATTTCATTCTGTAAGTGAATTCGACACATACTACGCAAACAAAGAATACTGCATAGCTTTTCTTCTGTGTTGAATCTGTGTGTAAAAACTCGAGTAGTCTCTGTCTGGGAAAGGGGGATGGATGAACACGTTGTTCAGCAGGTGGTTTTCTATACGGATCTGCCGTTCGCTCCAAGGAGATTAAACTGGTTGCATTCTCATCGTTGCCAAACCACAGTCGGTTTGTGCTGAATTGCAAACAAATGAGTGTAAGAACAGCTTTTCCCTGCCATGATTTTCTTCAAATACTGATGAAAAACCACCTTCCTAAAATCTGGTGTCTTACCCCAAAAAAATGTACTTTATCTACCTAACAGAATCTTGCGTTTGTTTATGCACAGCTAAATGTGCTGAAAAATATCGTAAACAACGGGTTTATTTGAGTCTCAAGTCAACACCATTTCAGTTCGTAAACGAAATGGCTCAGTGGTAAGAGCGCGAATTCACTGACCGAAAGGTCTTTGGTTCGAACCCGATCTCTGCCTCTCGACTTCCCCTGTCTAGGCTTGGGCAACCTGGCAGTATCTCAGCCCTCATGCTTCCTTCAGGAAGCATGGCAGTTCGGCACCGAAAGGGTGCTACAGCTAGACGGTTTGTAAACGAATATCCAATTCCACGAGTCCGATGCGTCCCTTTAAACTAGTACTAGCGATCGGGGCTGGACCTGCACCGAGCCCATTTCCAGTTTGAAGAAAGAAGCAAGGATGCATAACGATGTCGTACAAGACAGTTGATCAGTGTGACTCCTCAAAACAAAACACTTATTTTGTGCATCTTGTGAACCTGTTCATCATGTTACTGGACCACCCAGTACACTGCTTCTGCAATGGACGTTTGTTTATGTGCGTGCATATGTGGGGCGAAAACTGGTTCTTCGGCTAGTTAACATAATCGGTGAAAAAATGACCAGTCACAGTGTGGCTATTTAACTAGCCTGCCGAAACAACAACGACCATTCTGTTGTATCCGGGGTGTGTAAGTACATGCTGAATGCCTCACGCACGTTTGCACACATTTACCCCATGCTGTTTCTGGTCTGGGCGCATACGGTGTGCTTGACCCATCTCCTGATGAGGCCGATTCCACAAACACAGACACGCTAGTATTGTATACTGGGGCGGCTTACTATCTAGGGAAAGAATGTCAGGGGAATCTTGGCCGATGTCCATGGAACGCCTGTATCATGCATCAACATTTGTGATACAGCTGTACTAACCTTTGGCGTTAATGAATTCACAAAACACTGTGTAAGAAAAGGGAGACTTATTCTTATGGCTATTCTCACGCGGGTTTTGGTGGGGATTGAATCAATTCTAGACCGCTTCACAACAAACACTACAGGCGAAAGAGAGCACTGCATGCTGAAGCAATAGATATTTTGTGAATCTACGTTCACACGCTTTCGGAAGACATGCAATGTTCCTAAAAGCTATTGCAACAGAAATTAAATGTAGCAGCGGATGTGGATGCTAGTTCCTCAGTCGTTTATCTGCCATTGTAATGAAGGGAGAATACATGAAGAAAACTTCCTCGATAGCGAACATAAACTTAATTTTAGTGGGAAGGAATATACGAATTGTCCAGTTGGCACGATCGGCTTTACCTTCTATGGTTAGGTGAACCAGACAGTGCTTGAAATCTGTGCTTGCAGTAGTTCCAAGAGTGGTTTTGGAGCACTGGCAATAACCGAAGTAGTCGTGAAGAGCGAACCGGCTGCGACATTCTCGCCGACTTTGTTCAGTATGCTGTTGAACAGCCTCCGAGACTATTCGACCGTCAACCGTCTGGTTCCATAGGGCAACTGAACAGCCAGCTGCAATTGACCGAGAAGTTTACTGTGAATAAGTACTTTTAGAAAGCTTCATATTCGGTATCTTCACCAACTTATCTAACTTGCAGCATTTGTGTGTTTAGTACTTGCTGTTCTGGGCGTTTACGTTCAAGTCCAAGCCACCGGTTGCGTAACATCAATATTCGTTTCAAAGTTGAAATTTTGGTTCAGCATCCCGAAACATTAATGAATGGTTCATTAAAGTAAGGATTGGAATACTCCCCGTAGGCTTCATGCCATCTAGTTTGCCCACTTCGTGTGGAACGAATGCATCACCAAACTAACTGCTGTTGTTGTCCGCTCCATTCAATGTGACATCTGTCGATCTCAGGTTAACGTGACTCAAAAGTAGAATAGCCGTTATGTCTAAAGAACCGCGGGCGTTGGTCGGAAGTGAGTCACATTATCGTTTTGTATCCGGTTTAGTTTCACCTGCTGTTGTCTATCATTTTACAATCGGATACTGCCAAAATTAGTTACTTTTGGCGGTTTGTCACAATGATGAGTGTTGAAAAGACGCAAAACGGTTTGCTGATCTCAACGAAGTGGGTATAGATGCTACAGATTGATAAATTAGAAAAATAAGGCTGCAAAAGAGGTAGACAGTGTAGAGTTCTCCAAAGAGAGAAAGACTGTTCGTTCGGTTACGAAAGTTATGTCCAGAGGTAAACTGAGTGCACACGATTTTGCATACAGACGTTCAAAAAATGCTCCACCTCGGTTTGTTTCGAAATTGAATTGTTGAATTCGGCATGGATGGGAAAAAGTGGTGGGAGATGTTCACGGAATTTTCGTTTCCGCAATTCTAGTGAAAGTATTTTGAATTTTGTTCTAACTCAGCCGGTTTCCTATGGTACTGAACATCCTTGTTTGGTGTGAATGGAGGGGACCGGTTCGGGAGACCTCATGTACAGTCGAATTCATGCGATCCCAAGTAAGCATTTGCTTCTCCAGATGGCCTCAGCAGGCCAATAAATCCTGTGAAACAACAGCACTTAGCTTCATCGTATACTAATTCAGCCAATAGAATACGAATCTCCCTAGGACTTGATCAGTTCATTTAATCGCTTCAAACCTTATCGATTAGCATACTCAAACGAAGATAAAAATTAATCCCAACTAAGAAACCTGGAAGCAGCACGTTCGCTGCAAAATTGGGATCATATTGCTCTGGTAATGCTCGCAGTAAGCCATCCAATGAATACGCACCAAAGCCACTGGGTTGTGTTTGGGGCGCCAGGAGAAAAGTACCTTTTGATTAAGGGTGAGAATTCTGATTCTTTATGTTTTTCATGTTTCTCCTCTTTCGAAGATGGCTTGCTAATGTTCTTAAGGTTGTAACTTGACAGGAATCTTAATTCGACTCGATAAATGCACAACAATGATAGTCATCCGAACAATTTTATTAGAGCATTTATGAATAATGCGAGGACGTTTTGTCGTATGAGCCGATATCGTAATTCTGATACTGACTTATCACCAGTGGTTCTTAATGGTGGGATATCAGGACCATGGCTTCAGCGGACCCAAGATTCTGTAATAATGAATGTGGGTTCGTTTGGAGCACGTGACATTCATATTACAAAAACAGATTAATGCGAATATTATACTCAAAGTGAACTGAACTGCTTGATTGTGACAACTCCTAAACGAGAAGTTTTCATGGTTCACATGCTGACAGCTATTTTGGGAACCACTTCCCTAGGCGTGCATCATCACCATTGGTATGTTTACTTTCGCCCAAACTTTTAACACATCTCAGAATTTAGGATATCCCTCTCAATGTTGTAACAGATCTGTCAATATTATCCCAAACCACATAAACTAAACAAAACCAAATTAAGTCATCAAATAAACATGAATTCAGAGGCATTCGCGGAAAACCGCGTACCCATTTCCTCCCACTCAATTTCCGAAACACAAAGTGAACAAATTCCCCCTAGTTTTTGTTGCACAGAGCACTGTCCCTGGAGAGCAATTATCTGATCAAAAAACACATTTGGTCGCTCAGTAAGCTCATGCATAAATAAAGCAAACAAACTTGGTGACTCAGCACGAAAGGCTGTATCTATTTTACATGGTTGACAAAAGACTTAGCGGAGGTGAAAAATATATCCGTGAGTTTCTGTGAATATCAGTGAAACTTACAGTTATACGTTGTGTGGACATATTTCAAAGGGTGAATTCTACGTTCATGTTCATTCAAGCGTAGGGGAACAAACTACATTGTTCCGCCCTCTCTTTATGAAAATATGACATCCTACAGTGTGCTAAATCTTCGACTTCCGAAATACCTCGCCAAAATGGAGTTAAGGAAATCACTTGACTTAATTTCAGTAGTTATGATCAACGATTAGGAAAATTTGGTCTGATTTTCCAGTAGCCGATGCACGCGAGAACTTTTTTCGTTCTCTGGACTCATCAGATGGACTCCCCAAGATCATACACCTCACCCGTTGCCCGTCGATTGGACGTTACTCACTTTTTGACAACCCCACGCGTATCTTTTGAAGTTTTCTTATCTCTCGCGAGATTTGGCAGTGGACTTCAAATATTCCATACAATTCGGCAACCTGGAAAGTGGCTTTTGGATTCCGTATGCGAGTACAATGGGGGACAACTAATCCTATAATCCTTGTTTCCTTCCGTGAAATATCCCATGTAAATGATACCACTTTGGCATGTTTGCTGCGCTCCGTAACCCATTTTTGTTTTAATCATCCCATCCCTAACCCCCCATTGACCCGTAGGTCCCGAATATGCCAGTGCGTCCATTTTTGAATTTCCTGTGCAAATTTCTGAAGCCTGTTCTGTCGCACCTACTAGCAGCATGGAAACGGTGCCCGCAAACAGCTACCATCCATCATTCCCAGCCTTTCCACCCGCCTCCATTCCGCATGCCGTTCCCGCCCTAACTTCAGACGGTACATTCAGTATTTATTCAGGTCCTGCTTCATTGCCCATAGGCACCGGGACATTAAGACCACTGTCGAAACATGTGACTCCAAATCCAAACCATCGGCTTCAGACCACAGTCGGTCAGCATCCGGCTGGCCTCATGTTCCTAGGTGGTATCGGATTCGAGGATATGGATGCGTTGTATCAGGCGGCTCAGCCGAATGTCTTCAGTTATCCACCAGAAATGGGACGTCCATGTAATATATATCAACCGGATCAACTGGTACCAGCACAACAATCACAGAACGGGAACTTGGTAAGTTTCGTGGCATTTTACCTTGACTGACTTCCAGTGGTACTGGTCTGCGTCATAATTGAAGTATGAGCTACTGTAACTGAGATGCATTGCTTCAAACTGCGATGGAGTCAAGCCGCTTAATGACTGTATGGTCCCAACAATGACACAATGACACTTTCAAGCGCTACAGACAGTTATCCACAGAAATGGGACGTCCATGTAATATATATCAACCGGATCAACTGGTACCAGCACAACAATCACAGAACGGGAACTTGGTAAGTTTCGTGGCATTTTACCTTGACTGACTTCCAGTGGTACTGGTCTGCGTCATAATTGAAGTATGAGCTACTGTAACTGAGATGCATTGCTTCAAACTGCGATGGAGTCAAGCCGCTTAATGACTGTATGGTCCCAACAATGACACAATGACACTTTCAAGCGCTACAGATCGTATTTGAGCACATCTCTGTTCTACTGTTTATTCACATCCTGATGATCACAAACGTTCGTTCTTCACAGTTGTTGGCTTCAGTAATTTCTCCGAATGAATGGTTGTCATACTGTCTACTTTCGTAAGGCGTCTTACGCCTTTCTGATGATTTTCTGCACTTGCGTTGATGACTACGTGTTCCAGACATAGAAATGTATGCAAACTTAAGTATGCACTCCTTCAGGGCATGTCAGAATCCGCCACCGAGTGGTTGCACCGAGTTAAGTGAATTTCAGTCCTATTCGAGTGTTTCGAGCAGATGCTTCGTGTTTGAGGTGAAATCGCAAGATATCTCTTAATATCATATATCTTTTATTAGAGTACATCAGTGAACGTAGGGAATGCATACAGTGGTTGCCAGTTGAAGTCGCTTTTTAATGTTTAGGAAAAATCAAACACCATCGCTCGTGACACCAAACGGTTGTCGTGACAGTCGGCTGAGAAAATAGCGTCAATTCTGGTGTTTCTAATTATTCACTGGGTAAACGCTTTCGGGATCCCGAGCGTGTGTTATGTTGGGTTCCGCGAGGAAAACTGAGTGATATTAAAATGACATCTTCAATACTGGGTTTCTTCTTGGAGTTTTTCTTACAGAGAGGAATGCTTTATCTAAAGAATGCTTTACACACTTGCCAACGGAGTAGTTCAAAATAGAGGTGCAGTGTGCAACTTTTTGTTCGTATCAACTGTGATAGCTTCGATTGCGCCACAGCTACGCCCAGGAAAGTTGCCATAGCTGAAGCAAGCACTACTGTTTTGATGTCGACTATAAAGGGCGCACTCTTGTTGGTTTTTTTTTCTGTTTCCAGATGGGAACTTCTCAATTAGAATTGCCTGATTGCTCCTGGTCGAGCTTATAATAATAACAGGACGTGACTTACATGTCGCTGATCAACAAGACAATATCGGTGCAATAATATCACTTTTGGAGAAATGCTAATGGAATCTACGGACATCACTGGTTGGCTGTTGTCTTCGAAAAGTAACAGCCTTTTCGTGTCAGAATGAATTGAGATTTGGAAATTACTGGCAGTATACCACCGACTGATTAATTTTACTGGGCTCCTTTGAAGTGTTAGTGATCTGGGTGTAACGTAAATAACTTGATTATCAGGTGACAATCACTAACGAATGTCTGTTTTATTAGATGATGGTGATTACAAAAGTTATATGCACTTGATAAAAATAAGTACAACGCCAGAAGGGAATAAACTAAGAAGTGACTTATCGTTTGTGGACAACTGACGAGGGTTCCTGAGTGAAGTTCCGGACGCGAGATGTGCCTTCTCTGCAGTATAGCTGCTACACGTGTTCCGTAGTTGTCCTTGGAGACTTGTGGATCTCAGTCGATTTCATGTGCGCTCAAGTGTTTTGGGCTGAGCTGCATGCCTATTTATTTTGTGCAGTGTGAAGAAAGGGGTGTCCATTCGTGTTTGATAATTGCGCGAACGTGAATACAACTTGGCCTGATGTGGTTGAAGTGACGCGTGACGCTGGTGGTAGCCGCATAAATAACAATCGATGGGAAATGTTAGTTTATATGTTGTCGGCTAAGGTTGCAAGTGGGACAGGAATCTTTACGTGACTTGAGTGTTTGTGACGTGTGGTCTAGTGAGTGACCGCTACAGAAGTAAGCTACTCAGTGGATGCTTCAACTGTGAACGTTCAGTTATGGTTGTTGGTCTGTTCGCATAGCTTGGCACTTGGATTGCAGCGCATCCGAGCTACCTATATTTCACAAATTGGCACATTTGGTTATTCACATTTGTTTATTTTGCATGCCGCAAAGTAACAACCTATTTCGAAAATGAATAATTATTTCACATACATTTATGCATGTATTTGACTACTAGATATCCGAATTTCAATTTCAAACAGAATAACAACTTGAGGAGTTGTGATTACTAGAGCCAATCACACTTATCCACTTGCGTTCCCTCTGGAATGGATCATGGATCACTTGACCAACTTTCTACAAGGAGATATTCAATAGAAAGTAGACGGGATTTCATCCGTAGACGGACGAAATATAATTCTTGTTGAGGATAAGACCACAGAAGTTCCGTGGTTGTGCTTCCGCATCCATACCAACTGTTTGGCGACGCATCAAAGATCTTCTTTTCATACTTTGGTCCCACCAGTGGATTTAATACAAACGATGCGTGACTTTTGCTTTTTTGGCATTGTTTAGATGTTAGTTTCTTTATTGGAGCTATCTTCCCTGCGTTACTGCTCTCCTCCGGTCACCTACTTTCAGGATAACCCTCTAGGCTCAAATATCTATCAAAATAGCTTTAACAAAATGTTCATATCTTATAAGTTATCTGGCAGATAGATTGACATTGTTTTAATCGAAATTTTGTACTCATCAAAGTACATCCGGATATTGTCCCGCAGTAAGCTAGTCCACTTTAATGGAAGACCCATTAAAGCACCCGGTGAAGGCACCTCCAACGCGCTTTGCCGGATCGTACCTACTAGACAAGGAAGACAATCTAGTGACAGTTCATTATACTGATATTTTGCGCGAGGTCCCATCTTGTCTGGTATCTTGAGTCCACTGAAACATTTCTCGTGTATTTTGGCTGACATGCTCTGTCCACATCGATGGACGTCCTGTTTAAGCGGTTACGTTACCAAAAAAATGAATGAGAAGATGATTTTCGTCCTAAATATCGATTGAAACTGTCAGAACGGGTTTTACGAATAGGTCTCACATACATGTGACCGTCCTGATGTTCTTCAATGTGAAAATTACACTACGTAACGTTCAAGAAAACACCCAAGATTTCGCTAATGACCTCCAGACCCAGCATGACACTGTTAGAATTTGTAATCCAAGAGTTGCTGTGGAACGGAGTCAGTTCAGTTTTTTGCAAAGTAGTGGGAGAACATCACGGAAAAAATTGCTTGTGGAGGTCTGTCGAGAGTTGTTCTCGCTTCTAAGATGATTCCATATTGAATGGCAGTTTGTGGAGTGTACTCTTACAGCCGCTCTTTTGGGTCATTGAATGTCATCAAGTTCCCGAATTCCCTTTTAGGGAAGTCAGCAGTACGTAACCAGCCTGCCTCTTCTGTTGTTTCAGAATCTATCGGAGACTCATGAACCGTGGCTTTTGGCTAATTCCAAACAACTGAACCCCTTGTGTTCGGAAATCGGTCCACAAAAGTCAGCTTGGCTGACTGATGTCCGTGGTGGAACCTTACGTTTGTTTCCAGCTTCTGTGCAACAGTTCCCCCTCGGTCACGCTTCTGCGGGCGTAAACGATTTAAGTCAAATAACCCCGCAGGTGTCGCCGCAGCACTACTTTCCACCACACTTGATTCTACAACACCCAAACCAACATCAGCAACAACAGCAGCAGCAGTTCCGGTCTATGGCTGTTCAGCAGCCATCAAATAGCATGAAGCTCCCAAACGGCGAGCCTCATGCCCAAGCAGATATCCATCGTGGAAGTCCCGTTGGGGCTGCATCTGCCAGTGTAGCCTATTTACCTGGTGTTTCTGATTCAAACAGTAGAGAAACCAATCATTCCGGACGTCTATCTATCTATTCTGTGTGCACCTGAACCCTCGTTAAATCCCCCAGGATTCTATCCACTGGTCTTTCCATGGCACCCATTGTATTCGCATTTTGTTAGTGATGAATCTGAGTTGTCGGGCGAATTCGCCCCTACGTACTTTCAGTCGTCGTCGGAGCCACATTCCTCCCAGGCACTACAGTCCTACTAGTCTCTGTGGTTTTCGTCCTCATGTCTTACTCCAGAAGTGTGATTTAGCCTTACCTGTATGATATGAAAATCATAGAGTTTTAGTTCCCTTCTGCTGCCCGTTGAGGACGTTTCCTGTGGGCGCGCTACTAATTGCTTCATGGTTTTTCTATTGACTTCAAAAACGTTCTCATTCATACGTTTCACCAAAGCTGCGCCAAATAAAGTACTCGTCCAGATCAAATCGAAAGTAATACTCATAACACTATCTGTGGTTATTCCATGTTTTCGCTATGTGCGTCTATTAGAACACTCTTTCCGGTGTAAATCTTGGGGAAACATTTTATGCATCCTTCAACTGGGAATTCTGGATGTTACTCTACCATCTCTCTACCATCTCTCTCTCTCTGTATCATGCCATGGTTCTATCCATTTGCCTTTGTATAATTTGTGTGCCCTCCGTAGACTGTACTCTTTGTCTGTGCCTCTCCTCCACTGCCGTGTACATGCAGCCGATCCACTGCCGTGTACATGCAGCCTGATGCCGATCCACTGCCGTGTACATGCAGCCTGTCTTGTCCTGCATAAGGTTTATGTCCGTTTCTCACCATCTCGTTCTCTTGTGCGGCCTCGCAAATGGTGTCCGAAGTTCACAAATTCAATTGATCGATTGACTGAACCATCATCCTGAGGAAATTCCCCATGCTTCTAAAAAATATAATCCATCAGTTTACAAAAGTAACACTTATGTTGAACTTTTAACAGGTGTTCCCCTAATTTCGAAGTCCTATGACAATCCTATCTGCTTCGTGGGATCGTCGACTAGCCTATGTCGTCCCACGATTCAGTACACCGTTCTAGTCTACTAGTGTTCCTATTTTTTTACTCGTTAGCATTATTTGGGTGCCTCATATTCCCCACAAAGTCCATTCCTTACACAGTACTTTTGTCGGAATTCCTGGGAGGTTGTCGTGGCTTTTCAAATGCTAGAGCGTCGGTTTTCAACAGGGAAGAATTGACCTTAGAGAGAGAACCTTCAAGGATTAAGAGGCACTGAAGACCTTAGAGTTTGAAGACGGTAATAACTAAAATACAGACTACCGATCTGCTTCGTCAAATGTTTGAGTCGTTTGATATTACGCCAAGCTTTTACTTTCCTCCAGTGTCTTCTGACTGCCCGTCTTCCTGTGCTAATCCTGGCAAATGTCCTGTTAAAGTGTATGGTTCTCACTTCAGGACAAGCTGTTTGAGACTCGTGAGGAAAATGGACAACATTACGAGCTTGACCGGTTGCGCTTTGTACAGCTGGCAATAGTTTCATCTGTATTCGTGATATGCTGGTTTCAAGGTCGTCCACACCTTCATGAACCCCGGCCTTTGACTATTGGTTGAAGGCGACCAGCCAAAATAACAGTTTGTTCGCAGTCACCTCTCCATTCCTTTATAAACCCCATTTAAGTGTTCGGGCATCCATATCGGTAGCTAGCTTGTAGATCCCTCCAGAGCAAATAAGATTATATAGACGAGCGGTTTTTATGATAGGTAGTTCTACCTTTCTTTTCCTGTCCGATCGGAGGACAACTCGTAAATGACACACAAACTGATTGCACGAGGGTCACTCTTGTTTTTTCCAAAGCCTTCGTAATCGTACTGTATTCGTTGGATCGCAGATGAAACAAGGTAGGGCCTGTTCATATCCCCAATACCTCGGAAAGGATTTATGCGAAATGGTATCCCGTGACTATAAATTGTTTGTAAATAACCAGAGTTCAAATAATAGCAACCGAGTTACTATCTGTTACGTACAGAACCACAGTGATCTCGGGCTTCTGAATGCCTTACGTTTCACCACACAACGGTGGTGTATTCCGCAACGCAGCGAAGCGGTTGTCTGCGCTTTCCTTTGTCGTATTCATGTTACACCCAGAATACCCAAGACATTATTGGCAAGCGAAAGATTGTGCATGAAGGCTTGAGCAAACATTCAGGACAGATATTAAACTTCGATTCTGATAAATTTGTTGACACAGGCGCCAGCTAACACCCTAGAGTCATTCTCACCGGGCACTTTGTCTGGTCTGATGATAAACGTCTTGATAAAATGTGACTATCCAGGTTCTACTAATTTTAGCCGACTATGTTGACACTGTCGTTGCGATAAAACTGGGCAAACAATGTGGAAGCCAGTGGGCGTGAGATAGCGGGTTGGATCTTTGCGAGTATCCCCGACCTGAATGACGAACAGGTCTTTCAGCAGTGACGCTCACCCGTCTTATTCAACGAACTGGAACTAGGCTAGTTTTGCTCTGATTAGCATAGCTAAAAGTGGTCGAGAATTCAAGGGTAAATTAGAACAATGGGCGATTAGGCTGGCATCTGCTGAATTCACCTCTAAGTAAATTTGTGAACGATCGAATTATACTTGGAAGAATAAGGGAGATTAGGAAAACAGTGAAAACACATTCGTATTTCATTATTTGGACGAGGTTGAACCGTTTTAAAAGATCTTTAAGCAGTACCCACCATTTAATTTTCATTGGGCGTCGTCAGCTGTGCCCACTCAATGAAACTCGGAAGAGATGTGAACCTGCGAGCAGATAGGAGATCGAACACATTACATTTCACGTGCGAAAGGCCGATAGCCCGTGTGGTATATCTTTACCCAGACATAATGTAGTCCCGTTCGTGTCACGAACTCTGCTTTGTCCGTGAGAATGATGTATTACATGTGGGATGTTTTCTTTCTGCGCAGGTTACTTACGATATGTGAGTAGTAGGGCGAACTCAAGTGTTCGTTTCGTCAAGTTAATCTATGACGAAAGGTCTGAAACACTGCTCAGTTGTGTAACACTTGCTCGGAACCCTGAGAGGTGGGCATCCTGTGGGTGTGGGGAGGGTCTGAACTTGCATCCGCCCTCATCTGAGAAGCCAGTCGACATCAGATCACATGCTACCAAACCGTTCTGTTGACTTATCATTGGCGCTCTATCCACAGTACCGACCAGCTAACCGTAGCCAGTTGGTGTGATTCAAGCCCTTTTCGAGAATTTTGCGATTTATACTATTCTGTGATTCTGAAAATGAAGTTAGGTGAAACGAAAATGCACGGGGCCTGTCGCCTCTTCATCGAAATTGAGCTTCAATCATAAGATGAAATTCATTATTCAGAGTGTTGAATCTCCGCTTTAAAAGCGGCTACCCATTTCTTTCACACTGGTGTAAGTGAAACGTATCACCTGTAGTTATAACTCAACTTAATTTACTGTGTCCTAACAATCATGGTACTCATTTTTCCACACTGGCGTATACCGTGTATGATAACAGCACCCCTCGACCTCCCCCCCAGAAAAATTCTACTTTTAATCGGCAATAAAGTGTTGTTCCTGAAGTTTTAATTTTGCAAAAGCTCCAAAAGCATGCACTCGTTCCCTACTAAACTTTCTATCTGGTTGTTTACTTTTGTCGGAAGTGACCGCGCCAAGAGAGGGATATTACTCGAAAAAAGCCCAAGGCCAGGACAAGGTTCTCTCTGGTTCTGGTAATGCGTCTGCAACAAGTTCCGACAGTATCGCCGATAGCATAGCGCAATTCAAGTATGACTTAGAGGCAAACGTGGTGTTTGAGGATTAGCTCGAGTACTAGGTGGATCTGTTTCAAGTCGGCGCAGAAGCTCAGAAGATCGCATTGGACGTTCGGTTATTGTTTGTCAAGCTTGACCCAGTGGAGACGTATAAGTATTTGAGCCTAATCTCCCTTATTTTCCATCTGACAGGTCGCTTGATGATTCGACCGTATTGGCAAAGCACTCATCTTGGGGGTGCTCCTCATTGAAACAACTTGAATAAGCCAAACTCTATTGCTGACGAATCCGAACGTTTTACAAACCCACAACGAAACACCACTTTGGTCCAGTCTAGAGGAGACGGTGGTTCTAAAGTTGATGCGACTTACCAGACTATTGAACCAGGAACTTCGTTCGCCTCACCTAAAGCTTCCACCTTGACGTGGAGGTCGGACTTGAGTACTCCAATTATCGCGCACAATGATCCGCATAATATACTGAAGATCGCTATCAAAGAGCCGCGAAGTCAAATCGATGTGGTGTCCTAAAAAATGTACTCTTGCTTTGCCCTGAAGATCGCCAGGTTTTCTTCACGACCGTCAGATATGTTGGGTTTATCTTCGACACTGGGGCCGATATTCATATTACGAGTACGTGTAAGCCATCCGGCAAATTCCAGCCCCAAAGAAGATTCGTGTGCTTCGCTCTCTTTATTGCGTATTCTATCCCTCTCTGCATAGTGTTCAACCGTAGCCTGTCTGCCATGATGGAACTTACGTTGGTGTTGGTCAGAGGAATGTGAAGCCGTTTTCTGAAAGCTAAGTTTCTCTGACCGCTTCTGACTTTCTACCGAAAACAACGACCTAAAGCTTCAGACATGTGACCGTTTTCGTTATACGCTCACCACTTTTTTGGATAATGCAGAGGAGAATAGTGTTGCAGCCTCGGTTTCCGTCATAGCGGAGGCGAGTGGGCCTGTTTGTGTGTATCGTAATAACAGGCTTCCTTTTGAGTCGAGTCAGAAGCTAAGTTTAAGGACAATGTCCATGCTGAGACATACTGCACTCCAAATCTTGTCCGAATCCACCAGCGATACACCAGCGGGTTCTGGTACGTTCAGACAACTTAGAAAATCATCGTCTTGAAGCTGAAATAGAAATTTTTCGCGGATGAGGTATGGGGAGCAGACACTAAGGTGGTGATTGTTTCATGGTAGTGGTAGAATCTGAGATGTGCACTGTGCATAGACTGTACCAGCGGGAATTGTCGGTCACGGGGTTTCAAAGCATCGGATACGAAGTTCGGGTCTGTCTGGTTCCTTAGACATCTAGAATCCCTACGAGGTGGTACAGATGGCTGGCTGAAGTAGAGGTCCGACCAGGTGTGGTCCTCTCTTTCAATTTCTATCTAAAGTCAGCTTTTCATGAACTGGTTCATCTTCTTTTTCGTAGTGAGCCGGAGCTGCGTGTATCCTAGGTTTACTGTTTGGTCAGGTCTATTGTATAGTCTTGGAGACGGCGAGTTCTTCACTAGTGGTATGGAACAATTTGTCACATTCTGGAAGTTCTATGCCCGCTTCGACCGTGGAAGCGCCATTTGGGTTGCCGTAACTACATTGGTGTCCCTTAGTGCAAATATGTCTGCAGCATAATCCCGTTATGTTTCGCCGTAATTTTCGCTGTACTGTGTATATCGGTGTGTATTGTGTCTGCTGTGAGTAGCATTCCCATCCCGATTTATTCCTTTTTAATATAGGATGCTGAGTTAGATGAAGTGTGGCTGAAGTCCTCCTTCCGAGCCACGCGCCCTCAAGGTCATTCCGTCCTCTCACACAAACAGTCAACGGCTTGACGTTGTAGTACCTTCGCAAAAAAGACCAAACATTAGTAGAGCGTACTAATATTCTGACGAAGCATGATGGAATCCTGAAAACGCTCAGACATGATGCCTATCCAAATGAGATACAAGGTAAATAGCAAGCGTCACAGTTCGTGATAAGGAGTGGAGCATGTCAACCATGGGTCCGGGTAGAATATTTCATTTTTTTGACATTTCCCCATTTTAGTTGCTCGCGTGTATATAGTTTTGTTATGCAGTTTGATGAATAAGATAGCTGTTGGTTTTTGCGATTGCCATTAACGTAGTCACCCCTGGGTCACTCATGACTGAACTAATTTCAAGACTATTTTTGCTAGTAAACTCTATTCACATGTATGGTGCCTAATCATTGCTAACTCTTAGAGGCGT